GGAGCAGCACGGTGGCGCAACTGGTAGAGCTGCTGCCTCTCAGCGAGCAGGTCCTTGGTTCAAACCCCGGTCCAGGGGCCTTCTGGGTGGAGTTTGCATGTTCTCTCCGTGCATGCGTGGGTTTTCTCCGGGTGCTCCAGTTTCCTCCCACAGACCAAAAAACATGCATGTTAGGCTGATTGGTAACTCTAAATTGTCCCTAGGTGTGAGTGAGAGAGTGAATGGTTGTTTGTCTCTATGTGGCCCTGTGATGGACTTGCGACCCGTCCAGGGTGTACCCCGCCCCTCGCACAGTGATTGCTGGACATGGGCACCGGCGACCCCCGTGACCCAAAACGGAATAAACGGGTAAAGATAATGGATGGATGGATGGATGGATGTTTCAACTTTTTTCATCATTTTTTTTTTTTTTTAGCTCTCCCAACAGTCCAAGCACAGTGACCATCTTTAAACTCTTGTGCTTGAGGCAACGACTCACCCACAACCCAAAGTGAGTCTTCCATCGTTTTCAAGACTGAGAACCATGGCCTTAAACTTAAAGACCAAGTTTTTAGACATTTATTCAGATGGCCCCTTGTCTTGCGCCTGGTTCTGCTGGAGGCTTCTTCTTCATGCGAGCGCTTTTCTTTTACACTGTTGTCTCTGTGCTTGCTTAGGATGGGAGACGAAAACTCAAAGCCATCTGCTGGCTCCTCAGATAAATGTTATAAACTGACTTTACATGTATGTGAATGTTTCTGTGCAGTGCCCTGAGGTGCTATACAGTAGTCCCTCATTTATCGCGGGGGATCCATACCCTGCAGACCCGTGATAAGTGAAAAACCGCAAAATAGTAGTACAAGTAGTAAGTAGAAGTTTATTTTAGTATATATATATATATATATATAAAGATGTTTTAATCCCTTCCCACACTCTTGCAATACTCTAAACAATGTTTCTAAAAGAGCACAGAATGTCATGATTTCCCTCTCTGTGCCTCCTGCTCTCTGCCACCTGCAAGCGCTCTTGGCCACGCCCACTTCTCCGCTCTGCACGCAGATCAGCTGATCAGCTGCAGGAGGAAGTTTATCCTGCAGTATGGGCTGCAGCGAGCAGGTTGCCCCGGTTCAAATCCTTACCGTGGGCCTTTCTGGGTGGAGTTTGCATGTTCTCTCTCGTGCATGTTCTCCGGTTTCTCTCCACAGACCAAAAACATGCATGTTAGGCTGATTGATAATTCTAAATTGTTCCTGAGAATGTGTCCCTGTGATGGACTGGAGACCTGTCCACAGTGTCCCCTGCCTCTCGCACAGTGATGGCTACACAACAAAAACAGGAGTGTTAATTCGCTCAGTGTTATATTTGACACTTTTTCTGAGTTTCTATAATTCTCACAGATTCTGAGTTAAAAGTACACTTTGAAAAGTCTTAATATTTTAACTCTTTAGTAGTGTTAAATATTTGACACCCTTGTTGTTTTATGACACCACTTAAGTGCACTTTTAACTCAAAACAGTGTTATTCCCTTTCACTGTGTTAATTTTTTAAATATACATTGTTATTTTATGATGCAATTAAGTGCTTTTAAAACTAAAATTGTGATTTTTCTTTTTTATTGTACTCTATTAATCCCCAATGGGAAAATTGATTAACTGCATTTTTCCAATTGTGCATGCTCATGTGGGGTGGGGGGCTGCCATCTTGGGTGCCCTGGGGGCCCTTGCTCATGGGCCCAGGATGGGTGTTGCACCTTTCCCATCTGCATTTTGATGTTACTGGTCTGGGAGTTGAACCTGGTTTGACTGGAGACTCTCTGCTCACCCTCTCTAGCCTCTGCGCCACCACTCCCCCTTTGTATGTGTTTATTTTTTAACATACATTGTGTTATTTTATGAAATATTTCTAACACTAAAATTGTTATTTCCTTGACTGTTAACACATTAGTGATTGTTTTACAAAACATTAAAAGAGCATTCTGTGTTTACTAGCCTAACATGCAAGTCACCAAATCTGAAGATCCTTGCAGTCACCTGCAAGGCTGCAGAAAGTTAACACACACAACACACTCTTTACAGTTACACCATAAGTTCGTACATGTTGACCAGCAACAGTGAGCAAGTTAAATAAAAAAGTAAAAAAAAACCATTTTTTCTTTATATTTATTTTTTCTATTAAAAAAAAAAAGCAACTTTCTAGCACCAATTAGCACAATAATAAGACCAGTCACAACTTAAACATTTATCAACTCCACCTGGAGTGACTCTAACTCAGTCACAGGTGTTAACATTTAACTGGGTTGATTGACACCGCTCACAGAGCTTTTTGATCACCACAAGGGTTAAAACATCTCCCAAATCAACACCCATCAACTCTAAATTATTAACAGTGAGAAAAACAACACGACAGATTTTGCTGTGGGGGCCATCGACCCCAGTGACCCGAAAAAGCAGCAGGATGGATGAGTTCTTCACAACTTTTCCAAAGAGTCTCGCTTCAAATTAGGTGAAATATCCCTTTAAAAGCATATGCACATTATTGGATTTGCTTTGGCCTAAATCATAAAAATACCAGAAAACAATTCCCCAAAAATCATTTTAAAACACTGCCCCAAACCAGAACTGAGTGATAATTCTTCTGTAGTCTATAACTGATTTTTTTTAAAGTTCCTCCATGAAAAAAATAAATAAATAAAATCACTCTGCTTCCAAACTACACTTTGAAAATTTGTAATCTTATTAATCCGAATTAAAGTCCTTGGTGACCATCTGTCACTCCGCGCACTATTTTGATGCTGCATGCACCTCAGCCCGCCCCCTCTGTGTGTGAAGGGGTGGAGGAACAGTGCAGGGGGGGGGGAGAGAATCCTACCGGGCGGAGGGATTCGTGCTGGTATCTGTTCAGTGCGTGTGTGCGCGACTGCGAACTACGGCTGCTGCTTGTCACTCATTGTGCCGCGGCGCGGGAGCGACTGTAGGACCAAAAATAATCAGAGAGAGAGGAAAACATCCAATCCTGTTGCAGTGATTTTCTCTGGAGAGGCTCATATCCTGTGAACAAGAAGAAGAAAAGAAAGAGTTCTTCAAGGAGAATATCTGTGGCACGTTACAATGCTTCAAATAAGGGACATGATGTGGGCGCTGCTGCTGATCGGCTGCGCAGGTAAGATGACTTGTTTATCCCCAACAATAAGCCATGCGCGCGGATTAAGTCCGAGCGAACCGAGGCCGAGCGGTCCCGGATCCCGGAGCAGCATCCTCTCTCTCTCTCTCTCTGCGTGCACCCGCGCCTCTCCTGGCACTGACTCCGGACAGGCAGCCGGTGGCACGAGGAGGATGGAGCTCTGCAGAAACAACTCATTCAGAAAGTTTCTTTAGGAAGTGGGGAGCATATTTGGAAAACTCAAATCGGCGCATGTGATTTCTAATTATTCTGCGCGTAAATCACAGAAGGCTCCGCATTTATTGGCTCCAGTTTGGAATTTTTGTCCAAAGCGTGTTTTTTTTTTTTTTTTTTTTTGCCTCTCCACACGTGCTGAGTGTTGTATTCTCACGCAGCGTGGGGATGATGCTGACAGGGAGACTGCAGGGGGACGCCTTGTGGTCCCCTCCACACATTCAGTGGTGGTGTTTATTACAGGCTGTCCATCCATCCGCAGCGTTCAGTGACGCACTTCCAATCAGCCTAAAGCAAAAAAAAACAACAAAAAAACAGCCCGTTTTCTGACCCAAAGGTTCTGCTTAGACTTTCTGTTTATTCTCCTGGCTCACAGAGACGCATGGAGGACGCGGCGGCGTCTGCACGCACGCGGAGATGCTTTGTTTCAGCCAGGTTTCTGCCCGTTTCCAACAAGAAAACTCCGATTTTTATGCCATTACGCACAAATTATTGTCCATTATGCGCGCACACTGTGCCATGGTCACAAGGAAGAACCTTCCTAATGTGTCAGTTTGGAGAATTTCTGTTAAACTCCCGATTTGTTTTCACAGATTAAGTCTTTTGATCATCTTGCATCCGTTTTTCCGCCCTTTGCTCTATAAAACTCTGTGGTTCCCAACTTAGCGCGGGGTTCTTTATGCGCAAAAAGGAATATTGACTCAGCTCCTGCTCCACACTGATTTGATCATAGCTTTTAATTTGGTTGGTTGGGAAGAAGTTCGTCATCCATTGAGGACGACTGAATAGTCATTCAGTGGATACAATAGGACCCAATCCCAGAGCTCCCATGGTTATTTAGTGCGGAGCCTCCAACACCCACCAAGCCACCCACAGCCCCCTCCCCGCATCTGCCCCCTCCCCGCATCTGCCCCCCCCCCCCCCTCTCTTTTTGTCTCCTGCAGTTGAGTGTTGCAAGTGAAGTTTGAGGACCCCCAGGGGTCACTGGAGAGAGGGAACAGTTGGATGCTCTGATTTAACGGATGTTTCACTTCTCCACACTCTACAGGTCACTTTTCATTTTGCCTTCTAGTTTTTTATTTTATTTAATTTTTAATTTTTTTTGTATTTATTTTATTTTTCTGTCTGAGAAGAAGCTTGCTCTTGTTAAAGCTGAATTCAGCTCTGACCTCTGGTTTACTTTAAATGTTTGTGAACTCCTCACCCACACTATATATATATATTTTTTTTTAATCTTGCACTATTTAAAAGTCATACTTTAAAAAAAAAAGTTTTTAGTGAGACAACCTGAGAACACAAAATTAAAAAGACGGTTCATGTATTTTTGTAATGGTGTTCTGTTACAGTTTATGAATAATAAATATCTTACCTGTTATAGACAGTAGGAATTAGTCATTTAAACAAAACCATTGTACTAATTTATTTAGTCCGTCAATTATCTTTACCTGCCTCTTCTTTTTTGGGTCATGGGTGTCACTGGTGTCCAGCAGTCACTGTGCGGGAGGCAGGGGACACTCTGGACAGGTCTCCAGTCCATCACAGGGATAATATGAAACAAATAACTCTCTCACTCGCACCCAGGGGCAATTTAGAGTTACCAATCAGCCTAACATGCATGTTTTTGGTCTGTGGGAGGAAACTGGAGTACCCAAAGAAAACCCACACATGCACGGAGAGAACGTGTAGACTCTACCCAGAATAGCCCCCTGGCTGGGATTCGATCCGGCACCCTTCTCGCCTGAAAGGCACCAGCTCCACCAACGTGGTGCCACCGTGCCGCCCTAATTCATTTAGTGTTTTCTTCAAATTGTTAACTCTCCTCTCCAGAGAGAGCAGTCTGACGCTGTCACTTTAAGGTCTAGGACTGTGGCCTCATGCTTTGGTTTAAAACAGTCTGTCTACATGCTTTAGACTTATTGTGAATACAAGTTTACCCCCCAGGTCCTGCTGCAAAATATTTATTGAAGCAGAAGCTTTGGATGCAGAAACACATGCTGGAATGCTCAGAGTTATTTCTCTTTTATTTCCTATCTTTTGGGAGGGGGTTGGTGGTAGATGTGCTGAAAGAAGCACATTGACTGTTTAAAGCCACTCGTAAACAAGTTGGTGTGTCATTACCAGGTGTAAAACAACAACAACAAACAAAAACAATCACATCAATTCTTCAAATTAACTAATTTTACTAGAATATAAATATAAATATACATATATTTAAAAATCACTGTCCATCATTTATAATTAGCTCTTTGAATATCTTCAATTTGGACAAAAGGATTTTCACTCAAACAGGATTGAAAAGTTAACAGTTAGAGCTTCAGCCAAGACCAAAGTGCAATACTTTCATTTGAAACAACGAATTATAGAAAATAATGAATAAAAACTAATTTCATTTGGGCTGCACATGTTTAAATTACAAAATATTCATATCTAAATAATACTGACATTAAATTTAGTTTGCGGGTGGCGCAGCAGTGCAGTGGTTAGAGCTTCCACTTCATAGCAAGAAGGTCGCAGGATCGTCTCCCGGCCTTGGGCCTTTCTGGGTGGAGTTTAAATGTTCTCCACGGACATGCATAGGGTTTTTTCCAGCTGCTCTGAGTTTTATTTTCACAGAACAAACTTGTTTACATTAGATTCATTGGCAGCTCTAAATTATCCAGATGTGTGTGATCGTGGGTCTCTATGAGGGACTTGCGACCCGTTCATGTTCCACCTGCCTGTTGCGCAGTGGCTGCTGGAAATAAGCAAGAACTGGGAAAGGAAAAGAGGGCGAAGAGCGTAAATGGATGGATTTAGTTTTGTGAAACTGGAATACAGATCGGCACTGTTAATGTGTATTTATGTACAAAATTTTGCTTAAAAACGTGAACGGAGAACAGATGAAAGTTGGCTCTGGATTGTAGTTTTTATAAATTTTAACTGTCAAAAAGATTCTGCATATTTTATTATGACCATATTAAAACAATAAAATGCACTAGTGTGGAATGCACTGCATGTAAAGGTATTTGCTGTTTGGACGTTCTTATTGGTGCTTAGTAGAGTTGCATTCTAGTCCAAAAAATTAGATCCGACCTAGCCCCAGCCCGTAGCCATCATTTTCAAACCCCACCTGACCCGACAAATTAACGGTAATTACAGGTCCCTGTTTCTGCCTGCATTCTGCATTATTCAGACACGGACCCTGCTCTGACATGTCTGCTTTAAGATCTCACCTGTTTGGGTCGTCGGCCGTGCGCGTCCACTGAGTGCAGCGGCTGAATGAACGTCCATTTGGGCTGATGGATCGCTTCCTGGCAATATAGTCCCATCTGAAGCTTAACTGAACTTTATTTTACCCCTTTCAAGGTCAGTCAGCTTGCTGTGAAATATCCGTGTGTGGCTGGTGAAGGTACGGCAGGCCATGTTTCCATATATTTGGATTTTATGGCAAGACATGTTTCCATATAATTGGATTGCAGCTGATCCGCTGACACAATCAAAAACCCAACACCGACCTGGCCGGCCCATCCAGCATATTATCATGGCCACGCCCCAAAGGTGGGGCGGGCCGGGCCGAGCTTTGGACTCAGATTAGAAATGACAGCTCTAGTGCTTAGGCTCATACAAAAATCATATAGGCTCACATCAACAACCAACCAAAACATGTTCCACTGCTGTGGCTGAGTGGTTAGAGCAGTCGTCCTCCAATGCAAGAGTTGGGGGTTGGAATCCACCAGCAGTCACGTGCCGAAGTGTTCCTGGGTAAGACACTGAACCCCTCATTGCCTCCGATGTTTGTCCCATCGGTGTATGAATGTGATAAAGCTCTGATTAGTCTCATTAGAATGATTTGTTCAATTAGCTTTGTATAGATCTAGTAGAGTGCTGTATGAATGGGTAAATGAGGACACAGATTGTTGTGTAAAGAGCTTTGAGTAAGACGCTACATAAGTACAGTCCATTTACCATTTATGGTTGGCTATGTTCATGTTGGCAAACAACCATGCAATGCAAAACTGATGATGTAAAGGTGTAAAACCAGTGTTTAAATAAGCCACTATTAAAACCACTTTAAGATTGGAGTTCTGTTTAAACAGAGCAGTCCAAGTTCAAGTCAATTGTACTGTCATTTCCATCACATGTGGTACATGAGGTGGAACGAAATTATGTAATCAAGGTCCCAGTTACACACAAAAATCGCAAAAAATATAAAGTATAAAATGAAACCATATACAGTATAAGGATCTAAGATATACACTAAGATATACGCTAAACAAACGCCAAACGGTACACTACAAGATCTGACATATGCTAAACACTAATAATGTAAAATAATACGGCGTAACAACAGTCCACTTTGTTCTCAGCCCAGAGTGAATTAATTCAAAGAGATATGAAAGGTGAGGATTGTTCATAACCATTAAAGAGCTTACCTCAAAAGAACACACTTTTTCCAAAATGCGCGAAGGTGGTTGATTTGAAATAGTGTTTTTACCTACAAATTTAATTTTAAACTGTGGTGCTATTTGCAGTTGAACTAAACACGCTTTAGACAACATTAGGCCACAGATTTCTAAGTTATATATGTGTGAGATTTAGTCAAGTCAGCCATATTTGGTGCCTTCTTGCTCACCAAACTGTGGGTCATTCCTTTCACCTCTCTTGTGGTACCAAGCAAGCTCAGGATGTGTTCATTTTTTTTTTTTTCCATTTGATTCATGATCCTGCCAAGATATTCTGACTCCCCTGCAATTTACTCCACCTTAGAGGGGAAGGAGAAAGCAACC